GAAGACTATAAACAAACACTATTTGAAAATAAACAAATACATCATACAATGAAAACTATTAGAAGTGTAAACCATCAACTTAGTAGTTATGAAATTAATAAAGTATCACTTAGCTGTTTTGATGATAAACGGTATATATTAGATGATGGTATAACTACTAGAGCTTATGGTCATTATTTAAATGATAATTAAAACTTATTTTAATATACAGTTATAATGTGTAGTAAGCATGTAGCGTGGGCCTCTGTTAGAGTAAAATCATACATACCTGCTCCTCATGTTTGACTACATATCACATAACTGTTTGTAACAAGTAATTAATAAAAACGGTCTACCGCATATATACCTTTTATAATAACTGTTTCTGGAGGTAGTTTATAAAAATTAAATTATTAACACTTGATTATTAACACTTGATTATTATACATGCGCTGATGAAATGTGCTATTACATTAAACAACCATTGTTGAAAACATGCACTAAGACACGCGCTGCTACTGATATTTTAATAACACTTGATTATTAACACTTGATTATTATACATGCGCTGATGAAATGTGCTATTACATTAAACAACCATTGTTGAAAACATGCACTAAGACACGCGCGCTGCTACTGATATTTTAATAACACTTGATTATTAACACTTGATTATTATACATGCGCTGATGAAATGTGCTATTACATTAAACAACCATTGTTGAAAACATGCACTAAGACACGCGCGCTGCTACTGATATTTTAATAACACTTGATTATTAACACTTGATTATTAAAGACGGTTTTTTGAAGAGCATTTTTTAAGCCTCTGTCGTCCTTCGGACAAAACGGGGCGAGCCGAAAATTCTAGCTAAAGCTAGAATTTTTTACCCACCAGGCTCGCATGAATTCTCGGCGATCCCATCCCCCTGCTCGAGCATTTCATGCTCTGCGCTGCCGGATCGCCTCCGAAACGATGCTTTCTTAACACTTGATTTCTAAAGATAGTTTTTACCCCTTTGAAACAATGACTTTTTTCACACAGCTTTCTTACATGACCTTTTACTGAGGGACGCCTTTTGAACCATGGTCTTATTTTATGCTGTTATAAAGAAAGTTTTTACCCAAGGTTATATGTAGTATAGTACATGGGGGGATATAGCGCACTTTTCGTGCGCTAGAACCCCCATGTACTATACTACTTCACTTTCCATAACTAACGTTTGATTTGCAAATATTTTGAAGTGCATCAAATTTTCACACTCCTATCTGCCATGCATTGATTATTTTCTTGTACTAGTCAATAAATCTATTAATTGTGTTGAGAACTGATGCAGTCTAAATATGACTATGCAATGTAATGTCACAAGATAATATAGGTATTTGCATAGAAAAGGAAGGTAGAAACATCTACCTTTCACTGGCACAAGCTAGCTAACATGAAAATTAAGACATTTTAAGTGGTCAAAGAAATGCAGTTTGCAATGCTTTATAAACACTTTGATCATTGTCTGTAATGTTATGTGACCTCATTGATTGTTGAAAGAGATAATGCATATTTATCAGAAATAATGTATATAATGAAAGATATAATGTATGTGTATGAACACATGCACTTATAGGCTTATACATTATTGATAGACTGACTTGGACAATAGCAATAATAATAATATTTTTTTTATTTACATGAATTGAGCACACTGTCATACACACTAGTCGACTTGAAGCACCAAGTTGAAAACTCAACAAAATGAATAGTGTCAATACAAAGAAATGTCTAATCTAATATCGTTATCTATGTATATTTATTCTAAATCTATTTGCATCCAAATTGAAATAATACAATCTGTACTACAAACAAAATTGCATGACTCGCCATTACGTACAATGAGTATCAAAAAATTTAAATCAAAATTTTATATACAATCATGCATTTGACACATTGTGTTTTAAGGTTATATTTGAATACAGCAAGCTAGCAAAGCCCTTTACCTTTTCAGTTAATGAACTCCTCAAATAACAACTTCATGTTGAAATTAAGTTTTTCACCACTGGGAATTAAATAGAATACAATCATTCTCAAGCATATGATACAACATATGGAAAATCCCTCTGTTTAGTTTTAGCTTCATTGAATTTGGTTTTGGTTAATTGGCAGGGAAACTTCATTTTAAATGCACTCAATTGCTAAAGGGGTAAAAATGCAATTTCAACATGCAAATTGTATTTGACAAGTACTTCCGCATCATTTTTGATTGTATGAATTCATTAATAGACATAATTATAACTGGACATTAAAGGAGCTCTTGTTTCTTGCTACAAGTTTACACAAAAGTAAAATTACAAAGCACAATGTCTACTGCAAAATTACCGACAAAAGTTCCATTTTTATTTTTTCAAGCACAGATAGAAGTGTGTCATGTAATACAATTAAAATTAATACTTCAATTACAATGTATTAATGCCAATTATGTTAGGAAAGGCAAAAGAGGTTGTTACACAAATGTCTGAACATATGCGAATGGAGACACATTTAATTGTATAGTGTGGATAAAGTATGGGATAAAAGTTTGAAGCACTAACAAAACAATATTACCAGAAATAATATCTAAATGAAATTTTCCATACCATATCAGATGAAGTTGCTTGATCTATCTCCATCGTAGCACGCAACTGCTTTCGTCGTCTATATTTTGTTCTTCTTGGAAGATCAACAGTGGAATAAACTGCATATCGTTTGTATTGCCCTCTTGAACCCATAAGAAAAGCCTAAGTTACAAAACCACGAACACAAGTTTTATCAAAACGCTAAATTTTGACAAATTTTGAGGAATATTCATGACAGACTGCTCAAGACGAAAGCAGAAAGCGTTTGTTCAAGTCAGCTGAGAAATTACTACAATTAATACTTACCGCCATTACCACAGTAACATCAATGCTGAGCTGACATCGCCAAGGTGACAAAGCAAATTTCCTTACCACTCAAGTAATCAAGTTCAAGTTGTTGTCAGCGTTTTGCAGCTCGCTGTTGTGAAAAGGTGACCAATTGTGAAAGTTAAGGATGAAGTTTGCGATTTTCGATTTTGGAGACAATACTTTTGATATTGGCCAAACATCATGGATACAAGATAAAAATTCTACAACATTTGACAACGAATCCTGGCTCTTTACCCACGAAATAATTGTCAAGTGTCCCATAGACTTCAATGCAGCGAAACGAAAAATGCGAAAAAAAATTGATGTAGATACAATCAAAACGGAAAGCGAAAGATATCCAGCAAGAACTTTAAAATTTGGAGGTTGGCATTTGATTTTGATTTTTGAAATGCCACTGCAAAAATATAAATTTAAAACGTATAAATATTTCGAATAATCGTTTCTGTATAAACTAAATTTATAAAAAATGTAAGTGACAATATGGCGGACACTTACTTTTTCAAAAAAGCATTGCTCGATATATACCATTTTTTTGTCATGAGAATGAGTATCTATACTTTCTCTACAAGTTTAATAATAATAGCTAATCTTTATTGAGGATGCCAACATCACTAAAAGTGGTTTACAGAGGGGTCCTCTAAAAGTAACTAAATATAATATAACTACTTAAAAATAAAAAGAAAAGGAATACAAATCGAAAAATATGAATACAGGTTAGGGTTTTTCGGATTATAAAAACTATAAAAATCGAAGTATTCTACATTTTATTATTAGATGACTTTGCCTCCATGGATTCATGCTTAGAGATGTATCTGAAAAGTGGGCAAACTTCAACTCCTAAAAGAGGAAAAGATCAATGAATCTCACAAAAGAATTATAAATACCATTCCGACTCCGATAAAGAGGATTAAGAAGTCCAGTTTGGTTCACATATAAGTAAAAAAGTATGTTTTTTATCGTGATTGGAGATTACAATCTTTTTGGTATCATTTTTGGATTCCAGCTTTTGTAGAAACGGCTAAATATTGTACTAAAAAGGCGTTACTGTCTATATGATTGTTTTTATTTAGGCCCCTTTAAAGAGAAGAAAAGTCCAGAAAGATAGTTCAAAGAGAAAGTCCTTATATTCCATGGTTAAAGAAAAATATAAACAAACAGAGGTATTCATATTGTATTAATTACTTGATGCTTCATTAGTAATAATATGTCCCGAGGAGTAAAAGATCATTGACCGGTTGTTTTTTAAAGGGACATAGCTTAATGTTAAAAACTAACTTAAGGTTTGATTTGTTAACATAGGGTTAGCTAAACCTGTGTTAAAATTTTGTTTTTTAAAGTAGAGTTCAAGCAACGGCCTAACTAACTCTGAGTTAAGACATTTAACCTTGAGTTAAAAAGTGCACGACTCCAAAAAGATCAATTAACAATGTGTTCAATCAAATCAACCAATCACAGACGAAAAAGCAGCTGGCAAAAAAGTTGTTTTTCCTTTTTTTATCCATTAAGTACTTTCTCGATAATGGGGGATGGCCATTTTTGGATGTGATTCTTACGTCTATTTACAGCCAACGATAGAAGTAATGAGTTTTGAAATATTTTCGTGTTTCGTAAGCTTTTGTCAATTAATCACAGCTAATGTGCGTTCTTCTCATGTTTAAATATGTTATTTTGGTTAGGCGAGCATTGTATGAGTACTCGTAATGCACTTTTTTGGATAAATTCATACGCTGAGTGAGAATATATATTTAAACATTGAAATGAAATAAGTCAAACAAAAGTATATGTTGTCGCTACTCGTTTCACAGCGCAGGGCAATCTTCTTGGGAATCTTAAGCATTATGATTAATATAAATGTTTTACTTATTTTTTAAAAGTTTGAAACAGTGCAAAATGAAGAAGACAACTTAAACTAGAATCGTTCTGTAAGTATATAAACTTTTTTCAGTTCATAGCAGTTGACGTTGCCCAGATAGAGTAAGTTTTGCTTTCTTGTTTCACTTATTCGAGATTTGCCTGGTGAAAGGGTATTGTCATTATAAATGCCCTAAATTATTGTTTCTACAATGCTTTGTTTACAGGACAGTACATCCTTTTTACAGCTAAAAAAAATCGAAAATCGTTTAAAGGAACTTTCCGAAGAATGTAGAAACTTAAAGATACAGACGACAAATTTAGCTGCGTTGATGAATTCTGTGAAAGGTAAATGTTGGATTAGTGACAAGAACTAGCAATGTTTTCAACAATTGAAATGTAAGTTCTTTCATTTTCAGAATTACCTATTATTGTCAAAAGCCTGGAAACTTTAATTAATGAACTCCAGTCAAGCAGTACTCATTCAGTCTCGCCACCTGTCAACACTGATTTACCAAAACACCTGTCCCCTTTATGCCTTAAAAGTTCTTGCGATACAGCTACGATTGAGGAAAATGATAATACTGGCGACGGTGTGGAAGAGATGGTAAGAATAGTACCTTCTTAGTTAAAATAAAAGTCGTCTATATGCGCAATGCCTCAGCAAAGTTCAGTAAAAAAAGGTGTATATCTATAATGTCAAGCTAATATCATTATATGCAGTATTGGAAATTTAAGGATATGAATATAGCTACAGGGTGTATAAAAAAGCGGAGCGGTTATAAAACGCTGCTAAAGTTGTGAGTGTGCAAAATTTGCAACAACACTTGGTTAAAATAGTAAATAAGACTTTATATCTGAAGGTAAAGTTTTGGTGAATAATAGACTTTTTAGAATAAAAATTATGTTACCTAGAAGCACTGTTGAAGTAGCTTGTACACGTATATAACAAAGCTGAGAAGCAATTGCAACACATGGGGTTAAAATATGAGAGTATTGGTACAAGCTGACAAAGTTTTGGGAATTTTAGGGTATGCATCGAGAAAGCTTACCTATTCAAATTGCAAGTTATTTTGAATTTTCCCTTTTTAAATTTCATTTTTTATAATTCTTCAATTTTGAATAAATGCGATCTTAAATAAAAAAAAAAAAAAACGCGGATATTTACTTAAGTCTTAAAAAATGGCATTTAAAAGGGAAAAAACACAAAATAATCAGCAAATTGGAAGCCTAGCGTTAGCGTACGCTTTAGCCAATTTTTTCTAAACTTTACTTAAATTCGAAGTTAGCTAAAACAACATCTGCCATATTTTAAGCAAATGTGTTTCATTTTAAAGGTCTTGCTCGCACTGTTAATTTCAAGGAGTTGATTTAACTCCAAAAGTAGAGTTAAATAAAAAGGTAGAGAATGACTCCTATTTTGGAGTTAGATCTTAGTCCAAAATAAGCTCCGCTTTTGGAGTAAGCATAACTCCAAAAGTGGAGTTAAAATAGCTCTATAAAGGGTTGTTAAAATTCCTATGATTGTAACTAAATCATAATCCTATTCATTGCAAATAATTTATTCATATGTTAGCTTCATATAATGTATCATCTTAACTAACACTAACCATTATGCACTAAAGATTGCATTCTGATAATGTCGAAACATGTTTGCGCTCAAAAAATTGTCGATTTTCTTAAAAGAAAAAAACATATATTTTTTCAAATATATTAAAATGTTTGAAAAATATCAAAAAAAACGTCTAGAGCGTTGCTCGAAATCCAAATTTTAACGAAGCGCCACGAGGCCCACGCTATATGGACTTGTTGCCATAACGACAGAATTAATTTAGAGTCATAAATACTCCTGGAATTAAATGTTACGGTTTAAAATAACTCCATTAATTATACTCTGATTTACGAGTTATTTTAACACTTTTGGCCGAGTTAATATTACTCCAAGTGGAGTAAAATCAGAATCCAATCATATATTGGAGTTAATTTAACTCCAATCTTGGGGTTGAAACAACTCTAAATTTTTCACTCCATTAAAAGGAGTTATTTTAATCACCCCTGTGGAGTCAAAATAACTCCTTTAAAATGACAGTGAGGGAACACAACTCTTATTCTAAAAATGGTTATTATTTGTGAGAGTTCTACTATAAGATAAACCATTTAAAGTGCAAATATCTATTGTACCAATGCTTTTTTTGATCTTGCGGATGATTACTTAAGCGACAATTTCCTAACTGTTCAGTTTTTTTGGTAGCTACACCCGTATAGCAATCAACATATCGGTATTTTTGTGCGTAGTCAGAGACGCCAACTAACAGCACAATTAAGGTGCCTTTAGGTTAAGATAGGCATTCAAAAACAATCCAGAAGATGCTTCTTGACTTCTACTGGATCTCACAAATTTATTTTGGACCAACAGGTGGAGAAGCCAACTAGGCGAATAACTTGGTTGCTGTCTTTTAATTTCTTTTTGCATTGCAGTTTAAAATTCGACCTGATATGTTTCAGGAAACCATGTTATCATGTTGAAAACTGATGAATTATAGAGTCGTAGTACGTTGTAGACAATATCTTGTTCTTCCTAAATTTTCTCTTTTAACGGAACCTAGAACCTAACTCGTGCATGTGAAGAAAAAATCATAGCTATAGCAAATGGTAAAGGCATTAAATTTAAATGGAAAAAGAAATGACACTCCTTATAAAATAAACAATATTTATTCCAAACATTATTCATTTCTATTTAATTTTTTTAAATTTGTAATCTTCGAAATGTCCGCATTTTCTACTGATGATGATACCTTGTAACATGTAACACTTGTCAAAGCGTTTAGAATAAATATTCTATACTTTATACGGAGTGTCAATTGTTTCGTGTTTTAGTAAAACACTTTATGGCAATCGTAATTGAAGGGTGATATAACTTTTTTCAACACTATGCATTTGAAATTTAAGCCTTCTAAATTTTTTATTAGGTAGCACTGGCTCCTGGTATTACGATTTTGCATTCGCAGAGGGATCTTTTGACTTTACAAGGAAATCCAAAGAACTACACGTTTGCGTTAATGGACATGATGTGGTCCAGAGATGTGTTAGCAACACATTCCCTAACAGGAAAAACGTCCAATGCTCACAAAGATAAAACACCAAAGCCTTCATTGGATGCTTCAAAAGTTGCTGCACTGTGTGGTAAGTAAAGCTTTTAACCTTTATTCTATCATTTTAAGATGTATAATACAGTTTGTTAATACGGTCAGCCTTGAGGATTTTTTGTGGGATGGCTTTAGCAAATTGGAAATTAATACAGGTCCTCCAGAAAACTACAACATTTAATAGAATATTTGATGTAGTTACAAGTAAATTTGAGATGAATTGCAGCATGTTTCAAGACATATACCAATCCTTGTAAGAATTCTTATATGAAGTCCTATAGCTTCCTACAGCATGCTATACGTTGTTCCTATAGGCTCATCGGCCAATTTCCAAAAGGATCCTATAGGACGTTTTAATAGGAAGTTGGAGATCTGGTACGAATTCTTATAGCAATAATTTCTATAGGAAAACCTGTAGGAATTCCAATAGGATTCCTTTGTAAGCATTCTTATAAAATTCTTATAGTAATTCTTATGTGAATTCCTATAGGTTCTTACAGCATCCTATAGATTATTCCTATAGGCTCATGGGCTAATTTCCAATAGGATCCTGTAGAAAGTTTTAATAGGAATTCCTATTGATACTTTTCGTAAGGGTATCCAAGTTATATTAATAAGCACAAACTTCAATAATCGTGATTTATGCAGTTGACTCGCTCTATAGCTACGCTAAAATGTCTTAGTTCTTTAATTCATTGTCCTAAGATTTGTCGCTTAAATTGGCATAGAAAATTTCTTACCAAAATGTCAGCGCCACGAAATTGACCCTGGTGGGAGGGATAAGGGGGCGATTACATTAACAAACAGCAACACATAATGAAATTCAACATGGTTTGCAGTACGAAAGAATGTTTTATGCAGTGCGATGTTTGAAATTAAATGTAGATATGATCTTCGCACTTTTTTGGACAATTTAAGCAATTGTCTCATAAACCTGAAAAATTCAGATGACTCAACGGGATCCTGTTGAAGAGACAATTGCTTAAATTGTCCAACAAAGTGCGAAGATCATATCTACATTTAATGGTTTGCAGCGATGAAAATTCGCCGGGAGCGTTGTATTATTTCTTTCTGAACAGACTTTTGCGATTACATGTAAGGAAAAATCGACCTAATCATTGCATAATTTTTTATTAGATCTTTGGTTTTCGTTACTTATTAAGTACGATCATTTGTTCACTTGACTGTTTGGTGTTAAGTAGTTATTTAAACATTGAATTATTAAGGAAATTGTTACGATCATAAATGGTGTCAAAAATTAATTTAATTTATTAAGGTTTTACACAGCGCAAGTAGACCAGAGACTTCTCAATTAAGTTAGCGAACATCAAAGAAACGTCTACACAAACATGTTTTGGGAAAACTTGGAGAAGGAAAATGTAATGCATTGGAGCTTATTTCTTTAACGGGGATTAGCTCTTTGATATTATTTCCCTTTTTTTTTTTTTTTAGATTGTCGAAGGAGGATCATGACGGAAGGAACCGCTATCACAATTACCAAAAAAATGCATTAATTATAGAAAAAACACGCACGGAGAAATTACTGGAACTTCAAGTGGAAAACGAAGCTATACCAGTAAGATTAATAATTTTAGTGATCTATTTACTAACATTCTACGATCACTGGAGAGTCTGAACAATTTAGATGGCATAAATGGGTTTACGCAGTGCATGATTTTTAACATGGCTTTGAAAGTGCCATGGCTACGCAGGAGAATCAGTGGATATTTTTAAACAAGCAGTGAGCTTTTGCATAATAAGAAACGCGGTGAATCAAACACGACCATTTGCAGTTCATTAAAAGAGAGAATAAACTAAGAGACAGTTCAGCAAATGTGTTGTATTCTTAGTAAAAATGTTTATACTGCGATTGTACTCACCACAAAGCTAACGAGTGAACGGTAATAATCTTTATAAAATGGTCAAGACAATGTCTTACTAAAAAAAAGACTTTGTTTTAAGTGCACCCTGGAAAGCCGTCGAGCAGTTTAATAGAGCCTAACCTCTAGCCAGCACTGTGTGGATACTCATAATTCTTGAATATGAGACAAACAATGTGCAGTGGGAGTAAAAAAGGATACGAAGATAAGGCATAGCAAAGTGTACAAATGTGTAAATAACAAACTGACTTTATTAAATTTGGAACATATTTTACTTTCGCCTTAATAGACAAGAAAAAGTACAGTTATGTTTTGTGTATTTTCGGCTTCGTTTTTGTTAGATACATTACAAATAAAATTTTCACGTTAAAATAACCTAAACAATGAACATTTTCACGCACTTTGGCCAAGCGATCGAATTATATTATTTTACACGAAATGTAAAACTAATGTCAAATATAAGCACATTAGCTGTGATATTTTTATGTCTCAACATAACGTCAACAGTGTGACAGTAGAAGTGCCTCTTTTATTTAAGGCGAATTTTCTTTGTGCACTAAAATTTGCGCAATTATATAACAAAGCTTTACTTAATTTAATCTTTTAGTTCATTCCTAATTACATAAGAACAAGTGGACTATGTTCATTATAAATATACACACTAATATTGTACTGTCTTGCAAGAAAATACTGTAAAATACAGGCGAACAAGGTTTGAAAATAATTTGCAAACTGGAGATCAGATCGGAAATCGTGCTGTTAAAAAGTAGTTAAATTTAACCACGTGGTTAAGTCGGTTGTATAAAAAAGTAATTAGCGTTAACTGCATTTAAATGGTAGGTAAAGTTAACTATCATATGGAGCATAGTTAACTTTTGAAAACACAGTTAATTTTGGCGGCTTAGCTTTGAACATGATGGGAACGTGCATGAACATGCCCTGTGTTCTTCACATGTAAACTCATGGGCTTTTGCACAACTCCACCGCATAAAAGCCAGTTATTGTCTTCATCTCTTCATTGCAAATAAAAATAAAATGAGTCAAAGGATGAGGATTTAGATAACTTAGCTTTGTCGTTCACGAGCTTCACGTTGACACGTTTTTCCCAAATTCTCCATTGTTTTACCAAACACCGAGTTCTTCATCAGTTTATATAATCTTATCGAAATCGTTTGCAGCATGTTTTCGTTCGTCGGTGTTAAAGTATATATAGGATTTTAGGGAGTTTGTTGAAAAACTCCAGAGCCCCATAGCTCTGGTGTAATCAAGGGTTGTCAAAAATTAATTGAGTTTCAATTAATTGCAATTATTGCAATTAATTGATTGGACAAAGCATCAATTAAAATTAATTGTTTGGGAGAAACTCCCAATTTCAAGTAATTGATTGGGCATTGACTGCTTTTTTCTTTTTTTTTTTACATTGAAACTACTTTTTTCTTGTCACAGCAGCTCCATCAAAGGTCAATCTGCAAAAACTGCTGCCCATGAATTTAGAGATGCAACTCTTTCTAAAACTTAAAAGCTGGTGGCCCGATGCACAGTCTGTTGCGGAGGATTCTGTTAGCATGTGATGAACACTTGGTTGCAACCCTTTTTGCCTTTTTGACAATCACATAATTTATGTGATTGTATTTGTATTCTTGTTAGATTTCTAAATTTGTTTTTTTGTGGGCCTACACTGTGGGCCGAAAAAGTCGAATTATGCCATGTTGACATTACATTTTTTATTTTCTTCTTCGCTTTTTCTTTCTTAATGGGAATTCGAAAACTTATGGAACCTAAATGTGTGGCCTATGACATAGAGAAAAAAGTTAAATATATTTACTGTTGCTATACCTATTGCTATTGCCTGTACAATAGACCTACCTATTTCTATACGATATTAGCGTTAGTGTGCGTTCTAGTACTAAAAAGATATGTAGACAAAGTATACAAGGGTTATCAAAAATTAATCGAGTTTCAATTAATTGCAATTAGTTCTAACCAATTAATTGATTGGACAAGCATAAATTAAAATTAATTGATTGGGCAAAACTCCCAATTTCAATTAATTGATTGGGCAGACCAATTTAATTGCAATCAATTATTGACAACCCCTGGGTGTAATATGTAAATATGATGAAAATTAATAATTAATAGTTAATAGCAAGTTGAATATAGAGCATGGGCACATGTTGATCTACATTATTTGGAATAGCCTTTTGAATGAGATAATTTCGTTCAGTTTCACTACTACAATTTTGACAGTAAGTTTGTAGATTAATGGCATACATGCGTAGCACATTTGTTGTTCGAATTAATGTAGAAATCTGACATAAAACTCAAATCTTTTATAGTAAAATGGCCGAAAAAGTCCCAAGTACAAGACGGTAAGCATTCAGTTATTATTGAAACCACGTCCATAGATATAGAAAGACTAACTGCGCGATTGCTGATAAGCCGTCATATTGCATAGCAAGTGTCATTGCGGAACCTGGCAAAATTATTGTTAATAATTTACTGTATGTGATGAAATACAGATAATAAGTTTTCCGCCTTTTGCTTCGTTTTATTGCCTTATAACTCTTCAGGTCGACAACATATGTAATCGAATCGTCGTTACAAGTACTTAACGTAATTAAATTAATATTAATGCTACATTTAATATAATTCTGATGAAAATATCATTTGCGAAACTTTCTGTTAAGTGGAAACTTGGTAATTTTGGTGCGTATGCCACCCAAATTCATGATTTTATTGGCTTTTATGAATCATGAAACATATTACTGTAATGGATAAAGCATTTATAAAAAGGTGCAGATATATTACAGAAGTATTTTTGACACAAAAACTTAGTACTTCCTACAATGCCCATACTTTTTATAAAACCTCAAATATCCAATTGACACTGTAGTTAAGGATTCAATCACTAGTTTCTGGTAAAAAATACATTATACTTTTCAATATATGGCATGCAATTATAATGTTGTGTCTAATTGTGAAGTTTAAGTACATTATAAGCAAAAAGAAGTTGACATTGCTACATGCTTTGATGTAGAAAAGGGTAGTTAATTCTTCATGGCTTACTAACAACTAACCAAGCAATGGACAATGCTGAGGGTGCGGCTAATGATATTTCTTTATTTTTTTAATGATACTACTATCAGTGGCATATCTAGCAAAAATTTTTGGTCAGGTATTGCATACAAAGCCCCATGCTGTACAAAATCATGATTTTCAATCATACGTAAAGTAAGACATAAGTACTTTATTGAAGTTTAATTTACAAATTTTAAATTAGAAACAAAAATTATAAAGGTTTCTAAGAAGTCAAAATAAAATTACTGTCTTAGTTTTAGATAATATTCTGACATGCATGTACAGGTAAAGATTAAAAGAGAATTAAATTTTTGAACAGTCGCAATATTTCATCATCCCATCCTTGATGGAATTTAAAATTAAAACATTTATAAATCTTGAAACATTTGCAAACCTTTCAAAATAACATGCTTGATCTACATATTCACAACCATGCATCATCAAAATGTGGGAATTTAGTCCACTACAGTAATAATTGTTATCCTTTGGATTTTCTTGTAAAAGGACAAAAAGTACAAATAACTTACAAAAAATCTTGACAGGAGAACTTAAGATGCAGGTTTATTCAACAGAATCAGTCTGTGAGCCAAGCAGGAATTAAAAAGGAAAATGTTATTTTTTAACAACAATGCTACACCACTATTTAAATGAGCAGACATTATAAAGACAATATCACAAGTTCTTACAATAAGACATCAACTCAGCTGTTTCAGTCGAAACTAACATACACAAACCAAAATTGTCATTATGAAGTGTCAACATCTTTAAATAGGACAATACAACCAAATTATTCTTCGGCGGCTGCTTCAGTCAACTCCAAGTAACTAAAAAAAAATACAATTATCCATCTCATTCAAAAACTCCTTGTTTCATCATGTTTAAACAATCAATTAATTTATTTTGAAACCTGGGAAAGATTCCAGTTAACTGTCCATAATTTTCAAATAATCATATAAACCAAGCAACCACATTTTGAGAAGGTGAAACTTTGCACAATATCAAGAAATCCACAAAACTTGCCTTTATGAAAGCTGTCATAAGACTCATCATGCACTTTGTATGCAAACTCTTGTCCAGACTGTAAATTGAATCAGCATTTTTATCATTATATCATACCCTTTCATTATAAACTTAAACCACTCATATGTATGTTACACAGGATAACACACCATGTATAAAATCATTGAGAAAACAAACTGAGATTGCTGACGTGTATACAATTTATACGTTGCCTGTCGTAGCTAATTAAATATTCCAAGATGGCGGCTCAAGCGGGCAAAAGGACTATAATTTCTATTACGAAAATGAGGTTTTTCGCATTTTAAGTCGTTGTACCCTTTGCATCCCAAATCTATCCGCTTTTTTTGGAAATGGGAAGACATTGCGGAGTTTTTGGGATGTAAACTTGGATGCATCAAAGGAATAACACGACAAATATCGCTTCGTGAAATTGTTAACGAATTGTCACCTAAGTGCAATGATAGCTGTTTTCTTAAGTCTTGATTTATTCCAAGTATTTTTATGAGAAGGAAATAACTAAAAGTCAAAAATATTGA